GCAATTGCCTCCATTGGTTGAATTGCAATTCATTGGTATACCCCCATAAATTGCAATTCGTTACTTCTAGGAAAGGAAGAAAGTAATGAAATGACAAATATGCCATTAGTTGTTATTAATATTATTATTACACAAGGCAATTTATATCCTGCATCAGGGCACGCATTGCATTGTCCGCCCTGATGCAAAACGACGTCGTTTCAGATTTTTTTATTTTATTTTATTTTTTTGAAATTTCGCTACCATGTGTTAGCAGTTAATTTTCTTTTTAAAAAAATTCTCAGGTTCAAAAATGTACACAATTTTATACTAGAATACACATAATTGTATACATGAATAAACATAATTGTATAACAAAATACACATACTTTTTTAAAAAAGATAATACATATAATCTAACATAATACATAATATACATAAACTTTTAACATAATAAACATCAACTCTTAACATAATATACATAAATTTCCTGTTTCGGATGTACATAATTGTATAAAAAAGATGTACATGATTGTATAAAAAATGTACATAATTGTATAAACAAATACACATAATTGTATAAACAATTACACATAATTTATAAACAAATACACATAATCAACTACCTACATAACTTACCAAAACGGTGTCGTTTTGGGAGGCGCGAGGCGCTCAGTGCTATGCGCGCCGTGGTGCAGGATATAACGATTGTACACAATGACATTTTAGTCTTCATATCACTTATTTCCTTCTCATTCTCAATAATTCTTTTTTCTCTCTACCAAACAATGTAATTTGAATTCCAACTTTATTCCAACCTTATTATTTTTGCACTGAATTACAATTCCTTTCTCATCTAATTCCTTCACTCCAACCAAATGCCCAGTAAATATTATTTGTGTCATTGAAAATAACATTATTATTTTTTTCGAGTTTAGACACCCAAAAAGTGCAAAATGTAAGAAAAAATTTGGGCCGGAAGGTAAATTTTCTTTTTGGTCACAAGGCCGATGGCGCACTTCTCAGTTAGAGAGGTGTTTCTGGCACTTCTCAAAACTAAAAAGTACACTTCACTTCTCGATTAATGACAAAATGTTGGAAAATATTTTTTGGAAATTGGTTTATTTTAGCCCACAGGGCCATTATATTAGTCTCATTCCATTAATAAACTTAAATTTGAAAGCGAAATTTTATTATCAAGGTATGTACAAAAAATAAAAATGTTATTTTTAACGATAAAAATAATATTTAATGTGATACATAATTGATAGTGTAAATTGCCACGTAAGCAGTAATGAACACAAGTCCGACCGAGTAAAGCGGGTAAACTTTATAGATCGGGTGAAAAGACTTAAGTACAATCTAGATAGCTGCTCGGGTGCCGACTGAATGCGGTCGGGATTCTCTGATAACAGCTTGTCGATCGTCCGAAAGATCCTCTCACTGTCGCAATGGCGGGTATTTATAGACGCGACGCAGGGGACATGACCCGGGCTTTCCGGCCAGCCCGACGCGTGGCTTGGACACGTGCCGTCCCCTCAGGCGTCCTGCTGTCCCCGCCAAGTGCTGACGCGTGTCTCTCCTCAGCTTCTGTCCAAGGGAGGTCGGTCGGGAATTTATCACTCCGATCGGGTAACATCCGGTCGGGAACCGATCGGGTTCTTCCTGGGATTCCCGCCTTGTGACCTGCAAAAAGAAGAGAAAAGAGACAAGATGGGTCGGTCGGGCAGGGCCCAGGCCGGTCGGGATAAACCCTATCAATAATGATTGATGGTTTATTGAAAGACTTTTAGTATGTTATATATAAATATATAAAAGATAAAAATAAAACATATATGCGTATTTATGAAATTTACGGAACTTATTATAAAACTTGATAAGAATAGAAGAAAAATTTGTATGTTTAGACAGAGGAAAAAAAGTCTATAAAGAAAGTTAAAAATTTTTGAGGTTGGATTGTGGGATTTTAACTATTTATATTTGTAAAAAAATCTACAATAATTCTAAATAAGTAAATACTCAAAATGGTTCCTCGACTATAGCTAAATTCACAAATTGGTCATCGACTTTCAATTTCAACCAATTAAGTCCTTAACTTTGTAATTTTGACATGATTTGGTCCTCCATCTATTTGACCGTTTGTTGACTGTGATTTTTGAGGATATATATGTAATTTCATGGTCCACCGTCGGTTTTTTAAGGTTCCGGTTCTATTTCCAGACTGCACTGTTACATTTGAATCCACTGCCGAAAGCAATCTACCAAATCCGGTCGCCTTTCTTCATCCTCCCTTTGGATTCAATGTAGTTGAGTTCGTACCAGAGTGAAGAAGACGGTTTGTTTATGAACCAGTGCAACATCATCCTGAAGGCCTCCACGTGTTCCGACGAGAGCTGAAGGTTTTTCTGGAGATCGTCGATCACGGTCAACAAACAGTCAAATAGATGGAGGACGAAATCATGTCAAAATTGCAAAGTTAAGGACTTAATTGGTTGAAATTGAAAGTCGAGGACCAATTTGTGAATTTAGCTATAGTCGAGGGACCATTTTGGGTATTTACTCATTCTAAATTGATAGAGTCTAAAAAAATGAAAATTCACACAATGAAATAAAAAAATAAAAAATAAAAACGAGTTTTTCCCAAAATGGTCCCTTGACTATTCCCAAAATGGTCCCTCGATTATTTCTCAGTGTACATTAGGCGTACAATAGGTAAACGGACGAAAATGACCTCCATTTTAACACTGAGTTGACGGAAAACTTAACGAAGGATCAAATTGGGTGAGTTTTTAAAAGTCGAGGGACCAGATTTGGTGCAATTGAAAGTTGAAATGCAAAATTGAGAATGAACAATAGTCGAAGGACCATTTTGGGAAAAAACTCTTTTGTCATGTGCAAAGTCTAGGAGTCAAGAATTCAATTGATTATGAAACAGATGTATAATAATTAAATAATAAATAAGTTTAGGAAAATAGATATATTTGTGTTAATTAGAAATAAAGGCTTTCCTAATAAAATACAAGTCCTTTAAAAAAAAAAAAATATATATATATATATATATATATATATATATATATATAAAATAGAATTAACTCTTATTATTCTCACTTGTTTAAATTTGACAAATTCTTATTTAACTATTAAAATTTGTCTAATATTGTAAAATAATGTAATACATTTCCTAATAGAATATATTGTTTCTTATTACTAGGAAAACAAATGATGAAAGATATATCATGGTAGGGAGCTGGAGAAACAGAAGCCTTACTCTGATCTTTTCAATAGCAAATCGATTGTTTGAGTTAATCTTGTTTATATCTCAGGCCACTAAAGGCCGTAGCAAATATCCACACCCCACAGATCCAAGAGATTAAAAAATGACTAATAATAGTAGTAGTAGTGAAGAAGAAAGTATTTCTTCAATAAACTTCTGTGAGCATACATGAACGTATTCATCTGTTCACAGCATTCTTACAATTCCTATTGAAGACATTTTAAGTCTAAGGATTGTCAGCAAAGGCCAAGGAGAAGATTTTAGGAACGCTATGCTGTGAGGTGATTACGATTTCATATCCATAATTTTTATACTATAAATTCATAATTTTTATACTGGTGATTCATAAAATTTATACTTTAGATTCATAATTTCTATACAGTAGATTCACAATTTATATACTACAGATTCATAATTTCTGTACTGTAAATTCATAATTTCTAAACTGTATAGTTATCAAATTATGAACATATAGTTCTCTGATTTGTGAAAAACAGAATTCAACGATTGGAATCTAGAGTATAAATTTTATGAATTTACAGTATAAAAATTATGGATATGGAACCGTGACCACCTTGCAAGATTGGCATGTGCTCATGGCACAATATGCCAAGATTTTATAGTTTAATAATTTTGGACATTATTTTTGAATGCTACTGACTCTAATACAATGTAGAATCTGTTTCTAACTATTTTTCTCAACCTATTGAAGCACAAAGAGCCAATAATGCCTCTACTAAGGCACCTCCCATATGAGAGTCCAACCGGGGTGCCATTAGACCACAAGGTCTTGGCATAATTTTGGACATTAATTTACGAGTAATCCTATATACTTAGAGTGAAACTGAATTGTTCAAAATATATTTAAAAAATTTTGATTTGAAACATAGTTCAGGACATAAAACTAAAATGCAATGGTGAATCCACTTAATGACACTGAAAAAAACAGAAAAAAGTTTATTTTTTCATGTGTTTTTAAATACATTTGTGAATCAACATCATAATCATGTTTTTTATGAGAAAATCAAATTCAAGTGCCCCTCATTCAATCCTCTACTTTGTATTGTCCATGTCAAAGAAACCATTTCTTCAAAAGTTATTATAAACGCATTGAGGAGTTGAAAGCTACTGGGAAGTTTGAACCGATGGAGCTTCATGTTGATGAGGCCGAGCACAACATGGTGCCTTATCTTGCTAAAGTTTTTCGCGGCTACGTTTTGGACATTGAGCCTTCAAATGTAATGTTCTTGGAGACTGAATTACTGAATTGTACTAATGCTGACTGATGAATCCCCTTTGTTTTCCTTATTTTGATTGTGCTTTGTGCTATATATGCTCCTTACCCTCTCATCTTCACATGCCTTTTGTTCATGCAAATACTTTGTGCCTTATTACATACACAACATATGCTCCTTACCCAATAATTCTCATACACTCGTCCAAGCGCACATTGTAGATGATGATAGTCGAATCTTCCAATCCAACACCAATTATGTTGTTATCAGGTGCAGGAGGCATTTAACTCTTCATTTTCTGCAGTATATGACTAGAATTATATATAATAACATCTTTTATATACTACGATCCCCAGAAAATTATGCAGATAGAGTAGAAATTAAAAGAACACCTTAAACGCAATCACATTGAACAAAGAAACCATTCATCCAGATGCCGAGATGGCATAAGAATCATTCTTGGACAGAGCTAAGCAAGGGGAAACCATATCAGACTTACTGCTAGGGGCCACTCCGGGGTTGTTTTTGAGGTACGCATTTCGTGGTTGCCTGCAGTAATAGAGATCTTGCTCATTTAACAGTAACTTGATTGAAGATAAACATCATGTAAAAGGAAAAAAAAAAAAAAAACCAAACAATTCCATTATCTGCATAGCCAAAACAAAAAGATTGATGAAGTACCAAGAAACTAGTTTATTATGCAAATCGAATTGATTACCTGCCCACCCAGATTAATATCATTCTTTGACCATTTCCAAACTAGGTGAACACCATCTGCTGCCAGTGCCATAATGGCATTCCCCGAGCTTGTGTACATCAACCTCCATATCTGAAATCAAGTGCAATCTTGTAGTCCTTTTCAAGTTGGTTGGGTCAAGGCCGGTGAAGGGCCAAGTCCAGCACCAGGTGACTAGGGGGATTGTTGGGCGGAGGCCTGAAGGGCTAAGTCTAGCACCCTGCCTCTCGAAAATGTGGCAGTTTAAGGGAATAAGGGTACGCCTTCGCTACTGGCTATAGCTTTTGGCATAGTGGTAAGCTTATTCTAACAAAGTTAATAAGCAAAATAGTGTGGTATAATACATAATCTCAACAATCAGATTAAATAAGCTTTTATCTAACAGGCACTCTTCAATGTAATAAAATATGAAAGGATCACACCCTATCTGTTTTAACTTCAGAAGGAAGTCTCAAGGACTTGCATTGTGAAACTTTGGTAGGTTCAACATGAACTCCACGCTCCACAACTACCGGGATATCCGTAATCTTTTCATGTGGTGATTCATTCAGCTTGGCCTGCCATTTCGATAGTGAGATACGTAGTTTGTACCATACTACAGTGTATTTCAAGGTTAAATAAAACCTGAAGTGAGGAGAGAACTAATTTAAGAAATTCATTAACGATTTTAGACAATGAAAAGTCAAAATAGAAGAAAAGAATTCCATGTCCCCCAGATGAAACAAGTGAAAGAATTAGAAGAAGTGGATTATGAGTACCTTTTGAGTAGATTCTGATAGATATCTAGACACATCCATAGAGTTAGATACTCATTTACCAAGATCTTGATCTTGTTGTGATCTGCAGAAATGGCCAACATACTGCCTTTCTTGTTGAAGCGAATGCAGGGGCTTCCCTGGAAATGAACATAAAAGGTCAACAAATTAGAAGCGTTGGACAGAGGCCGGTGAAGGGCCAAGTCCAGCACCAGGTGGCCAGGGGATTGTTGGGTAGGAGACTTAAAGGGCCAAGTCTAACATCTTGTCTCTCGAAAATGTGGCGTGATAAGAAAATAAAGATGCGCATTCGCTACAAGCTACTCCGGTATAACTTTTGGTGTAGTGGTAAGCGCTTGATCTAACAAGTGATATCAGAGCCAGAATTGAATACATACGGTTAAGTCTCCACCAGCATCGATCACTGTCAAGATTTGATCATTATCAGCATTCCAAACTTTGATTAAATGGTCATCTCCAGCAGCCAGTAATCCATTGCTGCTTATATCGAATTGCAAAATGCCCGAAAAGCATTTGGAAAGGCCACTGTAAACCCTTGTAATATAGCCTTCAGTTTCATTCCACTCCACACGAAAAGAGCCTACAAGCTTTTAAGCTCAGTTTAGCTTCACATAATAAAGTAAAGGAAACAACACAACACAAAACAGTTCAATAATTTTACCAATCACCTTTTCCCATCAGCGCTGTAAACCATCTCATACACGAATGGCCAGGAGCATCATATTGAACCCTCGGCCCCATGTTATCAAACAACCAAGCTTTTATTTCTCCATTATTCGATGTTGAAAATAGAAACTGTGGCACAACGGTTAGAAGGATCACATGACATATCCCGAAAACATAGGGACAAAGACTGTAATGGAACAAAAACAGAAAGTGTTGACAAAAATAGGACACTTTTAAAAACTGGACACAAATAGGAAAAGATCCTTTGGCAAATGCGTTTGTTGTCAGATGTTTTTATTTTTTTTTCGCGGTCAAACAGACACGCAAGTAGGACTTTGCTGGAGAAGGCGGCCAAACTGGGATATACAGCAATCATTTAACATTATTTCACTAAAAAAATCTACTATTGCAAGTGAAGATATACAGACAGCTACAAGAATTAAGTGAGATACCATGCTGACATATCACATCTTATCAAAAGACAAAAATCAAAACTTTCTCACTAGTCACTGATTATAGCCAGCAATCCACTTTTACCAAGTTCTACAGATCATTGTAAGCACAATAACTGGCAAATAGTCAGATTATTGCTTACAAAAATGGGGCGTCACTGATCTGAATAATCTACCGTCATATATAGCAAACAAATTCTGATCCAGAGAACTAAAAGACGGACTGCTGAATTACAATTTTGCAAAAGGGATCTCAGAAATGAAAAAAATATTAAAAAAGAAAAAGAAAAAGACTAGAGCTTTAAATAGAATGTGATAGATCTAGATCAGTGTTCGTTCAGATGAAGCAATGGCGGGGCAATTTTAACATCAAAACCAAAGTAAAGCAATGGTGATTAGATCCCGGATGAAAGTTTCCGGTCATACCTTGTTGACGGTCACTGTACCGAGCAGTTGGAGGGTCATTGCAGTGGTCACCGACGGTAGAATTTTAGCATTTGATCTCCGATGGTCTCCGGCGACCAAACTGTTCGCATTCTCCTTCGCCAGAGAAGGCGACCAGTCTCCTTCGTCGGAGAAGCCGGTGACCAAACTGGTCGCCGGCGAAGGAGAAGGAGAAGGCGACCAATTTTTTTATTTTTTTTTTAAAGTTGGTCTCCGGCGGCCAAACGGTGTTTTTAAACTAAAACACTTTTTTTTGTTCCATTAAAGTCTTGTCCCCGAAAACATAACATAAAAATCGCGAGCTGTGAAATTATGAAATCAGGTAACTTACATGAATCTTTTCCTTCTCACGAGGGCACTGTCATGTCCTTGAGAGTTGGAGGAGAAGATCTGAACACAAGAGGGCCAGAATCAGGAGAGAAAAGCTCTCAAAGTGTTGGAAGTCGGGGACTAGAACGTCGTCGTTTGAATATGGGCGGTTAAGTGGCAGTTATCATTAAACCAAACGACACCGTATGAGACGGTTAGTGGAAGGTGGTTGAAAAAAGGATCAAAACGACGACGCGTGAAGTTGGAGGTTGAAGGATCACCTCAGACGACGCCGTATCAAGCCATCTGAGCTGGGAATGTTCTAAGCGGAGAATCCGGAGTTTGTTAGCTTAGCTTTAAAATTATGTTTTTTTTTATGTTGTTTTTGGCTGAAATTTTCAGAACCCTAATTCCTCTTTTCCAAGCTTCTCTATTTCTTCATCTCTTCTTCTGCTATTTCCATTGTTTTGCTACTTCAACCCTTAGGGTTGTGACAGGCACAGGGAGTAGACAGCACCTTGATGTCCTTCAAAAGTACATCGTCTAGCACCGGTTACAGCATCCCAAACCTCGAATAAAGAATAGGCAAGTATATGCTGCTTCTCGCATCTTTATTTCAAACTTTAACCTTATTAGTTGATATCTACAGACACCCAAAAAAGTTAATTCAGGTAAATTTACCTGAATTAACTTGTCATCGTTATGACAAGAAGTTGGTTATACGGCTTAGAGAACGCAAGATCATTTACACTGCTAGCATGAGCCTGGGGATTCGCTTCAATAATGGTTTTCAGTTAATTCACCAAACATTTTCTAGCAGACATAGAATCCCCATACGAGGATAGCGACGAATGATCTCTGCTTACATAGATTTCTTCACATCAAACAAACGCGATTTCGATCAAACCTTAAAAAAATATTAATCCCTCGTCCCTACTATCAACATACTGATCAAACCCTAAAAATGCTTACAAATACCTCATGCTTATCTGAACATAAAGTCATCAAGGGTTAAAAGCAATGCCATCTCTCTGTATAGCTCTTCATTTAATGCAGCAAACACTTGCATTTCAATGTTTAATTATTTATAAAAACTAGCATTATATCGTGCGATGCACGAACTAAATATTATAAAGTTAATTATTATAAGATAATAAGAAACATTTGTATTATTATTTCAATTTGAATTTGAAAGAAGTAACTTAATTATAGAGATTATGGAGTTTAAAAATAAAAATCAAATTAAAAAGAAACAAATTAATTTAATGATAAACAACGTTAACAAGAAACAAATTAATGATAAAAATTTCTATATATATTATTAATAAGCATCAACAACAACAACAAAAACTATTTCATAAGAAATTCATAACAATATTGAACACTAAAATTTATAGTAACAAAATTATTCAAATAAAATATATATTACTAGTAATGTTGCTTATTAAAATGATGATGAAGAGGGTGAGTTTCTGGGGTAACATTGTCATCCTCTTCTCCACATCTTTATAGTCTTGTCAGCCTCGCAAGTAATAAGCCTTGTACCAGTTACATCATAGGCGAGTGCATAGATGCAAGCTTCGCTTTCCAGTGACCCAGGTTGAACAATAGTTTGTGCTTGCTGGAAATTGTGGCCACTCCTCCAATCCCAGAACCACAAGCTTCCATTATCACCTCCTGTAGCCATAACACCCTCGTCATTAACTGCCATTGCATTGATGATTGTTTTCTGGTGAGAAATCATGTTGTGCAAGAATTCTCCTCTGGGGAGGTTGAATTTTTTTATGCTATCAGCGGAGGCAGACACAAAAGCATTATCCCCCTTTGGATGCAAAGCCATGGCCCTCACAGATTTCTTGTGATGTGTAAGTGTTGTCATAGTCTTACCATATCTAAGGTCCCATAATTTTATGGTTGAATCATGGGAACCAGTTATGACCTGATGAGGATTCATTTGGCTTGTTAAAACAGAGCAGACGGTGTTGTCATGCCCAGACAAAGCATGTATTTGCATCTTGGTTCTGATGTCCCAGACCCTACAGACAGAATCACGACCCCCAGTGAGCAGGACATTAATGGTAGGTTGAAGAGCTAAGCAATAGACGCCACTTAAATGTCCATGATAAGACCGAATCACCTGATTTTGTTCTAGATCCCAGCATTTTACTTGTTTATCATCACCTGCTGAGAACATGTGGGGATGGGTATTGCTAACAGCAAGGCCTCTTATTTGTTCCATATGACCAGTAAGAGTGAGCTTTAGCGTTCCAGTTGCTAATTCCCAAATCTTGATAGTCCGATCAGCTGAGCCTGTACAAAACCATGAATTACCGTGGTCCACTGCAACAGACCGCACCCAACCCAAATGCCCACTAATCACCCTGTAATTCTTCCATTTACTTGCAGCAGTAGAAAGATTCCTGCTTTCTGATGAGAACCCATTTTGTGGAGCTGGAAGAGCAAGGGCATTTGAAGGATGAGCAGAAGGCTTTGAATTAGAATGAGGGTGAGCTGCTGCTTTGCTTGCTATAGCTCCATACTCAATATTTAGCTTATGACTTATTCGAATCTTCTTGCTTTCGTGGAGAGGAGAGAATATATCGAGAGGAACGCGCTTCAGAGATTTGAAGCTCTGTTTCTTCAAAGATTGAGGTTCTACTGATAATTCCGAATCCATCTTTGCAGAAACCTAGCTTGCTAGCGCCCTAAAGAACAGAGGTTCGGGTTGGGTTCTTTTCAATGATCTTTTTATAAAAAAAGGAATGGTGTAATTCTATGGAAATTGGGAGATATAATTATATTGGGAATAGGAATGAAATTAATAGCCTAGTTGGAGACTTGGAGTACAAGTCAAGAATTCAATTGATTATGAACCTAGATAGATAATAATTAAATAATGAATAAATTTAGGAAAGTAGATTTATTTTTGTTAATTAGAAATAAAACTTTTCCTAATAAAATACAAGTCTTTTTTTTTTTAAATAATAAAATATAAGTCCTTAATTTGACACCTAACTATAAATTTAGGACAAAAAAATAAAATTAACTCTTATTATTTTCACTTGTTTAAATTTGGCACATTCTTATTTAACTATTCCTAATCGAATATATTGTTTCTTATTTTCCTATTCGTACTATAATTCAACGTTCAAATTCCTATTCTAATATTGTAAAATAGTCCTAATAGAATATATTAAAGTACTTACAATTCACGAACATATAATTACCTAATATCAAAATTGAAATTTTCTGAAAATTTACACTATTGAATTTTTTTAAAAATACTAATATATTAAAGTACAATTCACGAACATATAATTACCTAATATTAAAATTAAAATTTTCTGAAAATTTACACAATATTGAAATTTTATTAAAATAATAATTTTATTAAATTGTTTTTATTAAACAAAAAAGGCGTTTGTAAATGATGTGGCCTGTGATTATGATCCCACATCGAAAATTTTAGTAGATGAGATCTTGAGCTTGAGCTCCTCTATATAAGACTAGTATTTGCACTCGTGCGATGCACGGACATATGATATAGTAGTAAAATTAACAACAATGATAAAATAAAGACTATAATAGTATATGAATTACTTAATGAAAAACGAATAAAATTACAATTGTATTACACATTGTTGAAAATTTCTTTGTATACGACATTTTTAGTCGTACTTACAGATGGTACATTATCTCCACATATCAAAATTTTTAACCCCCGATGATTACTAACTCTTGACCATGATTAAAGACCGGCTTTCTCAAAAACAACCCCACGTGTGAAATATAATGTTTGCCCTTGAC